ACCGTCCATCTTTATTCTTTGTTTGAGACCAGATCAGTACTGGTCTGGAACTCACCAAGTAGGCTGGGCTGGCCGGACAGTGAGCCCAGAGCCCCCCCGTCTCCTCCTCCGCAGCACTGGGGTGGTAAGTGGGTGCCATTTCATCGGCTCTCTGGGAATTGAACTCAGGTCTTTGTGCTTGCAAGGCAACATTTTGGTGACAGAGCCCGCTCCCAGTTCTGGTTGTTGTTTGCGGTGCCCTAACTCTAACCTTGGCGGGTGAAATCTGGGCCTTTCTCCTGCTCAGCACTTTGCCACTTGTGTTTCTTACAATGACAGATATCCAGGATATCTCTCAGAAACCCTTTACATCATTACCTATGCAAAGACCCCTTCCAAGTAAGGCCATATTCATGGGTTCTAGAGGTTTCTGTGGGTACAAGGATGGAGCGGGGGCCATCATTCAACCCATTTTTGGCAGGAATCCGGCGCTGTGCTTCTCTCTCTGATACGACCCCTAACACTCAGATGAAGGAAGCCTCAAGCTCAAGCCATCGGGTCTAGGAAGGGTGTGGCTCCTGGAAACCCCTCATAGCTGATGGCACCCTATCCCATGGTCCCTCACCCTGGAGCACCAAGGCCATCTGTTTCCCTCTGTTTTCACCCTGCTGAAGGTCTCTGTCTAGATTGGCTTCTCAGCATGGTCTAGTGAGGGGTTACCTTTTTTTTTTTCTTGTTTGCTTGTGTGAGTGTGTTTATCAACAGTGTACTACTTGAGTGTGTATGTGGGTGTTAAACTTGAGTGTGTATGTTGGTGTACTACTTGGTTACACCCATGGAGGGCATCAGAAAACCTATAACTGGAGTTACGGGTGGTCCTAGCCACCATGTTGGTTGAGAGGCAGTGCTTTTAACCACTGAGCCATCTCCCCAGGACCAGCCCTGATTCCCAAGTACCCATTTGTTTTTGTGTGTTTGTTTTTCATATGCATCCTAGGCTGAGTTCAGACCTGCTATGTACCCCAGGACAGCCTCCTAATCTTCCTGCCTCCACCTCCTGGTTTTAGTTAGCACTAGGGAATTTTTTAAAAGATTTATTTATTATGTATACAGTATTCTGTCTGCATGCTGGAAGAGAGCATCAGATCTCATTATAGATGGTTGTGTGGTTGTGAGCCACTATGTGGGTGCTGGGAATTGAACTTAGGACCTCTGGAAGAGCAACCAGTGCTCTTAACCTCTGAGCCATCCCTCCAGCCCAGCGCTAGGGAATCTAATCCAGGAGTTTGTCACTGCTAGGCAAGTAGTCTCCCACAGAGTTATATCTGCAGCCCCAGAGAAAGGATGACGTTTTTCATCACACATTCTCTTATTTGACTTTTAAAGAACTTGTTACTTGCTGGGCAGTGATGGCATACACCTTTAATCCCAGTGCTCGGGAGGAAGAGCCAGGTGGATCTCTGAGTTCGAGGCCAGCCTGATCTACAGTGTGAGATCCAGGACAGGCTCCAAAACTATACAGAGAAACCCTGACTCAAAATAACCAAAAAAAAAAAAAAAAAAAAGAAAAGAATTTGTTACTTTAATTTTTTAAGTAGTCAGCAGAAGTAATTGCTTACTGTAGAAACTAAGACCAGACTTACTACCCCCATGTACACACACACATACACATTTTTGTTTTTTTTCCTAAATGAGATCAGATAGTATATATTTGCTTCAGACAACATACTACTCATAATGTGACTACATAGAGAGCAGGGTACTGGCTTTATTGCAAGACACTCCCCATCCCCCGTGCCCTGTGCGGCTACTAGGTGACCAACACCTCTCTCGTTTACCAAGAGAGTCTACCCACCGACAGTTCATTTTACGTCCTTTTCTCTCAGGGTCCCGGATCCCTCGAACCTGGATGGGCATAGACTTGAAGGTGCAGCTGCAGACACCCCTGGTACTGAGAGATGGAGACGACACAGCTTGGCACCTACTGCAGGGTGACAAAGATGTCAGAGTAGAGGTGAGACCCTGGGCTGAATCCCTGACCTTCCCCACAGCCTCCTGGGATGCCTTCCTGGGCTGTAGGCCAACCCCGGCTCGGTTGGTGTTGGTTAGAGGGAAGATCAGGATTCATTTGATACCAAGTCCCTGTGCTCTCCCGGGGTGTGTGTGTGTGTGTGTGTGTGTGTCTGTCTGTCTGTCTGTCTGTCTGTCTGTCTGGGAGGACCTGGGGTAGTCCCAAGAACATCAGGAAGTCTCCAAGCTTGATGCCCAGTCTCGTGTATAGAGAAACAGTCCGGATGAAGTGGAACTGTGGGGACTTAAGGAAGGAACCTACCTGTTCCAACTGACAAGAGCTGACTCCAACCAGCCAGAGGACACAGCCAACCTTACCATCACTGTGCTAACCGCCAAGCAGACAGAAGGTGACCGGGAATGGGCACGAGGTGCCTGGAGCGCCCCTCCGCTCACCAATGACCCTTTAGCTCTAATTCGGAAGCTCTCCTCTCTCTAGATTATTGCCTCGCCTCCTACAAGGTGGGCCGCTGCCGGGGTTCCTTCCCACGCTGGTACTATGACCCCTCGCAACAGATCTGCAAGAGTTTCACGTACGGAGGTTGCCTGGGCAATAAGAACAATTACCTTCGGGAGGAAGAGTGCATGCTAGCCTGCAAGGATGTGCAAGGTGGGTCTCTGAGAGGCAGCTTTGGGGCTCGGGGGATGTTGCTTTACTGGTTGGGGAAGTGGGCTGGGGTCTCCCCATCATTGTTAGAGTCTGGCCATGCCTCCTATTATTCCTTTTGTTTTTTCCCCCTAGGAATCTCACCTAAAAGGCACCACCCAGGTGGGTTTCCCTTCCTTTCTGTCCCTATTTCCTCCCCATGTCTTGCCTTCAGCCCATATGATGACCGTACCCCTGACTGACCCGCCTTTGCTCAGCTCCCACCACCCCCATAGTAAACAAACACCTGCCCCTTCCAACACAGCAGCCCCCTCAGGATCTGCCCAGGTTACATACAGGAGGAGCTGGGCTTGGTGAGGACCGGGCTCACGATAGACAGGGCCAGGTAGATGAGGCCCCTTGGCACACACTCTGTGCCTGAACTTCACCCCACCTCCGTCCAGTGTGCTCTGGCCGCTGCCACCCCACTCAGTTCCGCTGCAGCAATGGCTGCTGTATCGATGGCTTCCTGGAATGTGACGACACCCCCGACTGCCCTGATGGCTCCGATGAGGCCACCTGTGAAAAATGTGAGCTGGGGACCAGGAGGAGGGGCGGGGAGCAGGAGGGGAGAGCCTAGCGGCGCTCCTTTATGCCTGTGGGATACCTGTGTTGGGCCCCAACCTCTGACCTCTCATCTCTGCAGACGCCAGTGGTTTTGATGAGCTTCAGAGTATCCACTTCTCCAGGGACAAAGGTGAGAGCCTCCCCGTCCTCTGTGTCCCCGGAGTTTGCCATGTGTGCGGGCTGCAGTCAGAGCCAGGGCCTCCCCGGCTCGCCTGTCGCTCTCTGGTGGCTCATTTCCCACCCGCCACTGGGCACTCCCTGTCTGATTATTTCCATGACTGTAGCCTCTCTGTGTTCAGGACATTTCACAATGCCGTCTGTCATACATGGGAAGCCACCATGACTTGACAAGTTGGGAACAATATTCAAAATAAGGGCCCTGGGGACTGAGGTGCGGCTCAGTAGTAGAGCACCCACCGACCATTGCAAGGAACTGTGTGTCCCACCACCGCTGGGGGAGGGGAGGAAACAAAAGAGTCCCCTTATGCAAATTAACATGTACTAGAAATATTAGTAGTCTGGAAATGACGGCTTTTGCCAGGAAGATCAGAAGTTCAAGGTCAGCTTCTGCTAAATAGTGTTCAAAGCTATTTCATTGCTACTTCATAACTGTAGTCTCACTACTCGTTACACTACTGAATTGTAAGGTGAATATCTGTGCTTTCTGACGTTCTTAGGCAACCCCTGTAAAGGGTTGTTCAACCCCCCCTCCCCACAGGGGTCGGGACCCACAGGTTGAGAATCATGGTTAAAGCTGGATACTCACTCTTTCCTGCCTAAAGCCCACCCCTTTTGTTAAAAATTTTAAGCACTCAGTGGGAGGAATCAGAGACCCTGACACAGAAAAGTTACATTGAAGAAGAAAACTCGGGCTGGAGAGATAGGGCAGTGATTGAGAGCACTTGTTCATGCAGAAGACCCAGGTTCAGTTCCCAGCACCCATATGGTGGCTCCCAACCATCCCTAACTCCAGTTCCAGGGGAATCCAGCGTCTTCTGGCACCCAGGGCACTGCGTGAATGTGGTGCACAGCCATACATGCACACAAAACACCCACACACAAAATAATAAAATGTAATTAGAAAAAAAAAACCCAACAACTATGGGGCCAACAAGATGGCTCAGTGGGAATAAAGGCGCTTGCTGCTGAACTCGATCACCTGAGTTTGATCCATGAGACTCAACATGGTGGAAGGAGAAAACGAACCCCAGAAGCCGTCCTCTGACCTCCCTGGGTGTGCCGTGGTGTATGCACAGAAGTAAAGAAATACATAATGTGATGGAGTAGGTCTTTAGTGAGCCTCACTAGTTCCCTTGGTGCCGGGATTGCTGTCCAGAGTTGTCTCTCCTCCCTTTGATAGTACCACAGACGGGCCTTTGGTGAAGCCACCCTGCCCTCAGCCTGGGGAGGGGGTGGTGAGTTAGCGTCACATAGGGCCCCGAGGGGTGGGGGTGGCAGCATGGGTCGCCCCATGGCCTCACTTGTCACTTGGCATGCTCCCTCACGGCAGGGTACTGTGCGGAACTGCCGGACACCGGGCACTGTAAAGAAAACATCCCACGCTGGTATTACAACCCATTCAGTGAGCACTGTGCCCGCTTCACCTATGGTGGTTGCTATGGCAACAGGAACAACTTCGAGGAGGAACAGCAGTGTCTTGAGTCGTGTCGTGGCATCTCCAGTGAGCAGAGTGGCGGCGGCGGCGGCGGCAGGGTGAAGGGGAGGTTTAGTTAGGCCTGGGTCAGTCACTTCTCTGCTAAGTGACTTCGATGGCAGTGGGAGGGGGGACAGAGGGGCTGTGGCACTCAGACAGCCGAGTCGAAGGACTTAGTGCTGACCGGTTCTCCGTGTCGCTTTGCAGAGAAGGATGTGTTTGGTCTCCGGAGGGAAAGCTCCGTTCCCAGCGGAGGTAAGCCTTGGTCTGTCGTGTCACCGGCGTGGGTACCCAGGTGTCAGCTCAGGAACTGACAGCCTGTGACTGCTTGTGAATGCCTGAGTCACGTTGAGAAGGATCCTGGGGTTACCCCAAGTGTGCACCGTTGAGTAGTGAGCTCTGACATAGGTAACGGGGGGGCGGAACAGTGAATTGCCTGCCAGTTGTCTGCCATTAGAGTCCCCTGGGCTTCTGGAAACAGCTATTCAGGAGGTCTGCTTTGGGTGTCCATCTGCTTCTACTCGTGACATCCGTGGTCTTTTTCTGTTCCATGAAGAGGGTGGTGGGTGTCCGAACCAGACAGGCCCAGGGAGCACCTCATTCTGCCCGTTTTCTCGCAGGCTCTGTGGAGGTGGCCATTGCTGTCCTCCTGGTCATCTGCATCATAGTGGTCATAGCCATCCTGGGCTATTTCTGCTTCAAGAGTAAGAGAAAGGGATTCCGCAGTCACCACCGCCACCACCCACCTCCCACGCCAGCCAGCTCCACCGTCTCCACCACCGAGGACACGGAGCACCTGGTCTATAACCACACAACCCGGCCCCTCTGAGCCTGGGACTCCTGCCCGTCTCACCAGGTCCTGCTTGCCAAGACAGAGACTAGAACCTGGGAAAACTCGGGGACCAGACACTTCTGCCTGCTTCCTGGGCATGCTTACTCTGTCTCAGAAGCCAGCTCTCTGAGCCTCTTGGAGGAGTCTCAGCTGCACTCAGGCCAGTTCTGGAGAAGGCCCAAGAGTCTGGGAGGAGCAGAGCAGCCTTGAGCCCGGAATACTGTACATAGAAGGACCTGCTTGCCCAGGAGCCAGAGAAAGTTGGTGTTTTGTGTCCTGTTCAAAGCTGCCCGTCCCCATCCGATGATGCTAGGACCCGGAGTGGCGTCAGAAGCTAGAGGCTGCAGCTCTGCCTCCCACGGCTGTCTGTCCTTCCACTCTTCACAGTCCAACACTGGAGGATGCCGCTTTGTAGTGTGTGCTGTAAATAATTGCTTTGTGGGGACCAGGGTCGTAGCTCAGTGGTAGAGCGCACGAACCCTGAGTTCTCTCCACAGCACCACAAAATGACATTAAATTAAAAAATGAAGTGTGTGTTTTGTTGGGTGTGGGAGCCCATTTTCAGGTTCCTACTGGCTTTACCCAGCAGGTCCGCATAGAGAGAATGATTGGACCATGGGCCTGAGTGCTGGAGTCTGAGATGGTCTGCACTTGGCTGTGCTGGTCTTTTGCTCCACCCCTTGGTATTTCCATAAATCCCCTAGGGCAGGGACAGTCAGGGCCTATTGGAAAAGGTTCCAGGCCCTCTCGAGGCTATCCTGTATTTTCTGTTTATCTCCACACTCTAAATCCTTCTATCTAATATTTCCTGCTGCTCTCACTCAGAACTCTGGGGAACTGTGGGGTTGGTCTATAACCACACAACCCGGCCCCTCTGAGCCTGGGACTCCTGCCAAGTTGAGTTCCTCCCATTGCCCCCCTTCCCACCCTTAGTAGTTCCCATGGCCAAGATGTGCTAGGCAGGTTCTGTATCGCTGAGCTCTCTCCTCAGCTGTTTTGTGGAGTTGCTGGGGGGGGGGGGGCGGGATTAAACTGTCCTGTCCAACCGGTTCCGCCTTTGGCCACCCTGTTCGGCAGGTTTTCCCACCTCCTGAAACTGCCCTGGTTCCTCTGGGTGGAGAAAATTGTCACCTTTGACCACCATAGTGGAGGGCCATGGGCGTAGGGGTGTTGCTGCCCAGCGTTTCTTCTGGTGCCCATCCAGGCTCCCCTACTCAGGTGGGCGAGGCTTACCTGATTGGTTGGGGCTTGAACCCTGGCCGTCACTTGATGTTACCAGACCCAGGCCGTCGGTTACCTCCCTGCCCACCTGAGAGCCCTTGGCTTCTTCACGGGAATGCAGCCCCTCCCCTAGGCCCCAAGCTCCTGCCTAGTACCTACTAGGTGAGGTAGACCTCTCCAACTCACCCCCCTCCAGGGCTCAAACCACTTGGAGGTACCAAAGTATCAGACTTCCCTCAACAGATTGCAGTGAGCCGCGTGCCAAGCACTGGCGGTCCTTACGCATTTGATATTGTCAGGGGAGGCCCTGCTGAGATGCCTTCCGGGACACCCGTCGGCTCAGTACACAGCTCTGGTGCATGCAAATAGCATTCACAAGCCGAGGGCTGACGGCAAAGCTTGAGTTACCCGTTCTAAGGCTCGTATGTTAGGAGTGGATCTGAACCCTGGTAGAGAGACTCAAAGGTCCCACGTTCCAGGAGATGTGGGGGACTAGTACACAGACAGAGGGAGGAAAATGATTCCCCAGCTGAGCACATCTCCACCCTCCTGCCCCATCAGGAGGGCCCTCCCTCCCCCGTCCCTCTGGGGCCTCTGCATTTTCGTACCTCCCCCTTTTTATCACTCAGCTAAACTTAGAACCTTCGAGCACCGGCCCAGGTGGCCGGCACTCCCTGCTCCACACCCTGGGTTTGCCAACAGGACCCTGAGCACATGGCATCCCTTTTGTTTATGTACCTGTCTCCTTGCTAGGCCGGGAGCTCCTGGAGTCACAGGTGGCGTCTGAGTCAGCTCCGTCTCCAGCATGTCGTGTTCCTTCGGTGACCTCAGATAATGGCAGTTACTCAGCGGAGGTTGAGTACATGGTGGGGTGGGGTCCATCCCTTTTGTTCCATTCCACAGGCACGGGGTTTTCTCACCTCACCCCCTATTCTCCCCTATTCTCTTTGAGACTCAAAATAGACATGTTCTCCCCTTGATTCTTTATAAAGCACCGGCAGGGTTGGGATGATTGACGGCTCGAAGGCTATCCCAATTCCTAGGAGAGTAATCAACAAGGCGAGTGCCTAGCGAGTGTTGGTCTGAAGTGAGCAGCCCGTCAGGAAGTGGTGGAGATCAGTGTGGATGGCAGGCAAAACACCTTCTCTATTAATTAACCAGGCTGCCATGGCTAGAGGAGAGGGAATCTCACAGAAGCCGCTAGGGGGCGTGCTTACCACTTGCTCCTCAAACCTGCTCCTTATCTCCGGAACTCCGCTCTCGGTTTCGTCCTCACCTAAATAATGCTTTGTCACGTCTTCCCGACTCCCTCACTTGGCACAGGCAGTTGCCCAGAAGCAGTTGTCCAGGCCTCAGGTGCGACTTTGCCTCCACAAAGCACCTTTAACCCAATGCTGCATTTGTTCCAAAAAAGCTCCACACGCTATCCAGCTGCGCTCACGGTGGCCCTCACTCAAGTTTCAGGTGCTCTGTTGCATGAAGGTGAGCCAGACCTTGTCCTGTGTTTGCCCTCCGATGTTTGGAAATCCTCAGGGCAGGGACTGGGTCTCACGCCAGCGCCCCATGCTAGTTCAGTTCTGTATATTAAGTACCCAGCCGTGAAGAGTCAAAGGCTTGCGACGGATGGAGACAGTACAGGTATGGCATGCTTGCCGAGCAGGTGGAGCGCTGGATTTGATTCCCAACATGGGGGGGGGGGGGGGGGGGGAGAAAAAGACAGTGAGGTGGTTCGGCAGGTAAAAGTGACATTCCCACAAATCTGATGACCTGCGTTTGATCCTGGGACCCCAAAGTGGGAAAAGAGCCATCCATGATGGCACACCTCCAATCCTGGCACTTGGGAAGCAGAGGCAAGTGGATCTGCATCGTGAGTTCCAGGCTAACCAGGGCTACATAGTGAGACCCTGACTCAAAAAAATTAAATTAAAAAGAAAAAAAACGTGGAGGAGGAAGAGAATTTTCTCCTGCAAGCAATCCTCTGATGTCCACTGGACTCCATGGTACTCTCAGGCCCACGCTCATACCACACACAGAGTAATAAGACAACGCTCCTGCCCATGCTCATATCACACACACAATAATTAATAAGATAATGTTGAGATTTATTTTTAATTATGTGTAGGTGTGTATGTCCGAAGGCTGGAGGCATGGGATCCCCTAGTGCTGGAAAGACAGGCTGTGTGAGCTGCCTGGCATCAGTGCCGGGAACCGAACCTGGGTCCTCGGCAAGAGCAGCAAGTGCTCTTAGCCACTGAGCCGTCCCTCCAGCCCCGTTTCTTTTTAAAGGTGGCACAGATATGGTTGCACACGCTTTTAATCCTAGCGCTCAGGAGGCAGAGTCAGGCAGATCTGCATGAGTTTGAGGCCAGCCTGGTCTACATAGTTCCAGGCCGGACAGAGCCACGTAGTGACACTTTGTCACAAAACATTTTAAAAGGCGGGGTAGAGAGAGACTGCGGTACGGCTCTGGGTGAACACACTTGTCACCAAGCCTGACGGCCTGAGTTCGATACCCAGGACCCACGCAGTGAAAGGAGGAGAACCAGCTCCTGAAAGTTGTTCTCTGAGCCCTACTGCACCATGGCGCGCACACACACACACACACACACACACACACACACACACACACACACACAGAATTTAATATATATTTTTAAAAGACTAGCCTGAAGGCCAGGCATGGTAGCTCACACCTTTAATCAAGAGGCAGAGGCAGGTGGATCTCTGGGTTCAAGGCCAGCCTCGTCTACAGAGTGAGTTCCAGGACAGCCAAGGCTATGCAGAGAAATCCTCTCAAAAACATTTCTTAAAATGTATTTATTATTTAAAATAAATAAATAAATAAGAGCCTGGGCAAAATAACAAGACTCTCCAAAAAAAGAAATTCAGTCGAGGGGGTTTTATGGAATAGGTATTAGTAAGAGAGCAAAGATTCTAGAGGGATGTTTGGTGTGGCTTTAATTTTTCTTTGTGCACGTGCACAAATGTGTGCTTTTAGAGTCCAGAGAACAAGCTTGGGGTTCATTCTTCAGGCACTGTCCACTCATTTGAAACCGGCTTTCTCACTGGCCTGGTGCTCACCAACGAGGCTATGTTGGCAGGCCAGTGAGCCCCAGGATTCCGCCTGTCTGTCTCCCCAGCGCCAGGAATAAAAATATGCACCACTGTGCCTGGTGTCTTTACCTGGGTTCTGGGGTTCAAGTTCAGTCCCTCAGCCTGGGTGGCCAGCACCTCAGAGACTGAGCTGTTTCTCCAGCCCTGTTCCGGTTTGTCTTAAGACAGGGGTCTCATTCTGAAGCACCGGCTGGGGCAGGATGTGGTGGCGGCGCACGCCTTTGATACCAGGACCAGGGAGGCAGAGACAGGCGGATCTCTGTGAGTTTGAGACCAGCCTGGTCTACAGAGCGAGTTCCAGGACAGCCAGAGTTACATAACAGAGAAAAACCTGTGTTTTGAGAGAGAGAGAGAGAGAGAGAGAGAGAGAGAGAGAGAGAGAGAGAGAGAGAGAGAGATTGTAAAAGACACACAGAATAAATTAAAAAATAAGCAAATAAAAAAGGAAGGAAGAAGAGACCAGTCTGGGCTACAGAGGGAGTTCACCTCCCGCCTGAATAACTAAGTGAGACCTTGTCTCAAAGTAAAAGGTAAAAAAGGAACTGAGAATAGATCCAGCCTGGTGGGAAGGTGCTTGCTTAGCATGTTCAAGACCCCAGAGTCAATCCCCAGTTCCACAATGAATGAATGAATGAATGAATGAATGAATATGAAATGATGTGCTATTTTGTTTTTGTCAACTTGACACAAATCAGAGTCACCCAGAAAGAGGGAACCTCGCTTGAGGAATGGTCTCCATTTTTTTGATTAATTAATTAATGGTCTCCATTTTTTGGATTAATGATTGATGGGGAGGGCTCCACCCACTGTGGGCGGTGCCATCCCTCGGCAGGTACCGGGGCTTGTAAGAAAAGTGGCCGAGCAAGCCAGGAAGTGGCTTCCTCCATGATTCCTGCTCTGCTGCTGCTTGAGTTCCCGCCCTCAGTAATGGACTGGGACTGGGGCGCGTAAGATGGTTTTGGTCATGGTGTTAGGTCACAGCCACAGAAAGCAAAATAGGACAGACGGCAACTGTGATATGCTACAGCACAGATAAACCTTGAGATTAGGATAAGTGGAAAAAACTCGTATTTTTTCAAAGGCATATTGTGTGACTCCAGTCTTACGAGGCGTCTTTAGAGTAATCCTAGAGATGCAGGGTACAATTGTGATTGTAGGAGAAGGTGGGGAGGGATTTAATGGGTGTACTATTTCAGTTTTGTGAGGTGAAAAGAATTCTAGGAATGGGAAATGGTGATTGCATTACAGTATGACTGCACTTAATACTATCGAACTAGACCCCTAAGAAAAATTAAAGCCAGGCATGAAGGGGCACTTCTAACTGCCAGTACCCAGGGGGTAAGAGCCAAAAGGTTGTGGATTTGAGGGCAGCCTGGATTGCACACAAAGACCCTGTCTCAAAAAAATAAAGTCGTATGCCCTTTGAATTTTACCACAAGAAAAATAATTAGGAAGGTGAGCAGGTGCATTTGTAAGTGTGTGTGTTGGGCTGGGGGGTCCACACACAACAAAGACACAGGGACTGGTAGATGGGGCTCCACTGCTGAGCACGGGGCAGGGGTGGGGGTGGGGGTGAGCAGGGAAAGGGGAGAGCCAGACTTGAAGGAGTAGATAGAGGCCACGTCACGGGAGGACACACCGCAAGGAGACGTGAGAGGGAAGAGGGAAACCAAGTCAGTTGGTGGAGATAACCTGTGTGAAGGGCAAGGCGTCTACGCTCCGAGGGCTAGCTGAGTACTGGCAGCCAGCTAGTCCTCTGTCCCCAACAGTTAAGTTCTTTGAGTAGCCGCCAATGTTATAGACTCAGGAAATTTCATTAAGCACATACACACAAGCATTGCTAGCTCCTTGGGGGACCTGGAAATCCGGAGCCTAAGCATTCAATTTTAACTTCCATCATCTTCTCTCTTTCAAGGCACCCTGCCTCCTCCACTCTGAGGACTGATCTCAGAAGGTTTTGATCCCAGAAGTTCAAATAAACAATGACAGACGGTATTGCTATCTGATGTGGCTGTGTGTTCCTGTAATGCCAGTACCTGAGAGGTTGAGGCAGAGGCAGGAGTTCAAGGTCAGCTTCAGCTACATATCAAGTTTGAGGTCAACCCAGACTACATGAGATCCTATTTAAAAACAAAACAAAAAACACTAAACTAAATAAATCAATTAAACTTGAAAACCTTGCTGCTTTTCCCCCAAGCCAGCCCAACCACCTGAGCAAACAGCCCTGATCAAGGCCTGCTGATGCACAAGACCACTCCTGTCCTCAGCCAAGCCCTGAGACTGCGGCTCCAGAAGGCGACCTTCCCCAGGAAGGGTTGTCAGTGGCCACACCGGAGAGCCTGGCACCTCGAAGGCTCGACTGGAGCCCAGTGGGGGTAACCAAGCCTCTACAAGTTCTGAGAGCCCTGGGGGCTTCTATCAGTGGGACCCAGAACCAAAAAACCAAGAGACAGACCAGGAAAGAAAGCAGCTCCTTGTCATGGAGTTTTTAAAAACAAACAGAAAACCTGAAAAACTATTTGCTCAAACGTCCACAAATTACTGCACGCTGCGTCTAATGGCAGGGGCCTGTTACCCCAGTTATGAGGGAAGCTGAGGGCTGAGGCAGCAGGATGGCAAATTCCAGGCTGAGCTACGAAGAAAGGCTGGGCTGCTGGAGGCCTCCAGAAGGAAGCCACACCAAGACATGACTCTGGGCTGGGCAGAGGGACCGCGTAAGCCCTAAGAGTCCTCAGCTCTGCGGGCCTAGGAGTTTCAGAAGTGGGTGAGGGGGGCGGGGTAGAAGAACCAGACAGAACGCTCAGGCACACAGTCGGAAACTGGAGAGTTTTTCTTTGACTTTTACCATCGGTTTCTTATTTACTTCTACCTGGCCTTACGGGGGAATGATTCAAGGTTGCTCAACAGGGTCCATAAATTATGAGATCGCATGGGGATGGGCAGAAACAAGACAAAACAAACAAAAAACCCAAGAAGACAGGGTCAGGAGTGAGGCCAAAACACCAGAGTTGTGTCTGTGGGCCACATGGAGAAACCGAGTAGCTCTGCTCTGGTACCACTGAGGCCAACTCTCGAGGGGAGGGGTCCGGGCTTGGCAGAGGCAGGGGAGGCCTTGGGTTTAGGGGGTGGTCAGGGTGAAACCCAGGAATAGGAGAGACGACCGTGAGAAAAATCAGACAGCTGAGTAGACGGGTGAGGAAGAGAATAAAAGAGGAGGCAGTGCCTTGGGAGGAGGGAAAGGATGGAGGAGGGAGACAGGGAGATCGGAAGGCAACAGGAAGCATGATTGGCAGGAGTGATAGCCAGAGACTAAGGAATCACAGACTTCAACCCCTGTCAGGCTGGGGACAGGAGGTTGCTGTCCTCACAGATGGTTGGAAGAGGGACCGGGGTTGGAGCCGTGGCTAGAGGCTGCCTTTAGTGGCCAAGAAGATGAGAGAAGGCCTTACAGAGGCTGTAGAAGGCACTGTGAGGAGACTGTTGAGGAGAGGCCTGGGATGGGTGTTGGGATGAGCTTCAGGCTGAGGGCAGCAGGTTAGAG